TCTGGTATAAGTATTGCTACCTCAGCTTTCGTTTGTTTGTATCTATTTTCATGAAATATCTTGTTCCATCCCTTTAATTTCAGTTTTTATGCGTCTTGTCTTTCGTTCTGAAGTGGGTCTCTTGTAGGCAGCATATGTAAGGATCTTGTTTTGTTATCCATTCAGCCACCATATATCTTTTGATTGGAGCATTTAATCCATTTGCATTTAAAGTAATTGTTGATAGGTTTTTATTGTCATTTTATTATTCATATTTTTATCCTTTTTTCTTTTTTCCTCTTATAGAAGACCCTTTAATATTTCATGTAATAATTAGTTTGGTAGTGGTGAACTCCTTTACCTTTTTCTTGTCTGAGCAGCTCTTTATCTGTCCTTCGATTCTAAATGATAGCTTTGCTGGGTAGAGTAATTTTGGTTTTAGGTCCTTGCTTTTCATCACTTTAAATATTTCGTGCTAATCCCCTCTGGCCTGTAAAGTTGCTGTTGAGGAATCAGCTAACAGTCTTATGGGAGCTGTCTTGTAAGTAACTAACTGCTTTTCTCTTGCTGCTTTTAAGACTCTCTTTGTCTTTAATCCTTGGCATTCTAATTATGATGTGACCTGGTGTGGGCCTCTTTGGGTTTATCTTGTTTTGAACCCTCTGTGCTTCCTGGACTTATATGTCTCTTTCCTTCACCAGGTTAGGGAAATATTCCATCTTTTTTTTTTTAATAGGTTTTCAATTCCTTACTCTCTCTCTTCTCCTCCTGGCACCCCCATGATGTGAATGTTTGAAGTCGTCCCCAGAGGCTCCTTACATTGTTCCCTTTGGCGGGGGAGGGTGTTTGTTTTTAATATTTTTATTGATTTTTAAAGAGAGGGGAAGGGAGAGGGAGAGAGAAAGAGAAACATCGATGTGAGAGCAGAACATCGATCTGCTACCTCCTGCATGCTCTCTACCAGGGATCAAGCCAGCATCCTGGACATGTGCCCTGACTGGGAATTGAACCAGCAACATTTTGGTATACGGGACGATGACTAACCAACTGAGCCACACTGGTCAGGGCCTCTTTTTGGAGGGGATTCTTTTTTCTTTTTGCTGCTCTGATTGGGGTTTTCCGATTCTTTGGCTTCCAAATTGCTGATTTGGTCCTCTCTTTCATCTACTCTACTGTTGATTTCAGCTTAGTGTATCCTTCATTTCTGACTGATTCTTTTTTATGTTTTCTATCTCCATTATTATGTTAACTCTTTGTTGAGGTTCTCACCAAGTTCATCTATTCTTCCTCTAAGTTCATTGAGCATCCTTATAACCAGTGTTTTGAACTCTGCATCTGGTAGATTGCTTCTCTCCAAATTATGTATTTCTTTTCTGGAGTTTTTTCCCTCTTCTTTCATTTGGGACATGTTTCTTTGTCTCTCATTATGGCTGTCTTGCTGTGTTTGTTTCTTTGTATTAGATAGAGCTGCTATGTCTTCCAATCTTGGTAAAGTGGCCTATGGGCTCTGTAGGTATCCTGTATGCCCAATGGTGTAGCCTTCTTGGTCACCCCAGGTAGGTATTCCACTTGTGCCCCCCAGTCCCCCATCCCATGTGGGCTGTATGCATGCTCCTGTTGTAGTTGAGCCTTGATTGCTGCTGGCATGCCAAGAGAAGGGCTCACTTCAGCAGAGCTCTGATTCCCAATGAGTCCTCCCATTTGGAGTCTGCCCCTTGAATGTGTTGCTCATGGAGGTGGTTGGGTGGTACTTTAGCATGGTCTGAAGCTGTCCACCAGGTGTGCTGGCTCTAGTCTCCCGAGAGGTGCAGGCCAAGGTCAGCCGCTTCCTGTGCCCTGCCTGGAGCCACCTGGCATGAGCTACAAAGCAATCTGCAGATGGCTGCTACATGTGCTGGGCTTGGAGGTGCCCAGGTAAGGCCAAACTATGAACTGAGGCTGGCTGCCAGCATGCTGGGTCTGGGCTATTTAGCAAGAGTTTTGGGGCACTCCAAAGCCAGATGCTGCTTATTGGGGGTTTGTGAACCTTTGAGAGATTTTAAGAAAGTCTGTAGCATATGAACCGAGACAGGCCATTTGTATGGAAAAGCCACTGGAATTGGCTTGGTGGGCCCGCAAGTTGGGTGGGGCATGGTCTCACGAGGACAGGGGTAACAGTGTTAGGTAGGTTAATAGAGACTCAGACATGGTGCCCTCCTGCCAGCTCTGTAGGGGGAGGGCTCAGCAAAGAACAGTGGCTTCTGCCAGGAGTTCAGTCTGGGAGAAAGCTGCCCTTCCAACCCTCCCCCCAGACAGTTCAGTTTCTCCCTAGATGTTTCTGGCACCTTTCCAGCTGCTGCCCCAGTGCTGCATGAACATAGGAATTTCTTATACCATCTACTTTTATGTTTAAGATTTCAATAATAATAATAATGATAAATGTATTTGCATGTTAAAAATTATTGTTCTTGATTATGAAAATGCTTATTGAAGGTGTTTCTTTAGGAAGAGTGTTCTGGCCCTGAGGATTTACTATGGAGACTTTAGAGGTTACTGTAGTAATTTCAAAGTAATGATGAATGTACTTGGAGGAGGAATGAAGATAAATGATGATAAATCCCCTGTTTTGTTTATTTGCTTAAAATAAGTCAAAGGCATTTTAGACATCTTATATTTGCTGCTGGGAGACACATCAGGTTATGGGGCATTAAATAATATTTGGAGAGCTGCATTCAGTATTGTATGTGTGTGCTGAGGAGGGAGGTGGGTTTGTAAAGGAATTACCAGGAGGTACCTTCAGAGCTAGAGGAGGGAACATTGTGTTGTTGATTAGTGGACAAAGTGCTGTTCACAGAATTACAAAATGTGACTTCAAATCACTGAACCTCCCTGGCCTTCAGAATTCATAATCTCTCACACTGAACATTTTTCCTCCCTCTACCCTTTTTTTTAAATTACAGTATTGTTTTAAACTAGTAGTTTCCAAAGTGGGGCGTCTACATCAAAATCTCTGTGAATGTGTCAGTGTGTGTGTGTGAGGGGAGCGGGGGGTGGTCAGAAATGCCCAGATCTATAGAATGATTTTCTGGCAGCAAGTGCCTGGGAATCAGCATTTAACAAATACCCCAGGTGAACCCATGAACAATGGAGTTTGACAAGAACAGATTTATAGGCTCTCATGGTTCTTTTTCTTCTGATTGCCTCGAAATGCAATCAGTACTTAAATTTCTTCTAAGAATCTACGGTAAGGGATTTCAAAGCTTTTCTTTTTAAGAATGTTGTGATCAAATTCTTATCATGTGACGTTATTGTGCGTAGATTTCAATTTTGTGGTTGTACTAGTAGCTTATGTTTGTAATGCATAATTTAGAAAATAGAGACACAAAGAAGAAAAGATTATAAAAACCCATAATTCTTTAGCCTTACAAAAACAGTGTTAAATAGGTTTGTTGCATATCCTTCCAGACTTTTTCTAATATGTATTCATATAAATATAATTATTTACCAAAATAGCCTATTTCATTAAATTTTTATTAGTTTTATTCTCTCATTAACACATTATGCTCATCTTTCTATGTTAATAAATGTCCACCTACATCAACATTTTGAATGGCTGCATGAAATTTCTTTGTATAAATGTACCAGACTTATCGCATCTGTTTCTTACTGGCACTCCGTGATATTCACCTCTTTTTATTGTTTTCCCCATGGAAATAGGGACTATCCTTCTATATTTTTTTGTACATCTTCAGTATAAAGTTTCTAGAAATGAAATTGCTTAGTCATTTGATAAAAGTGCACAGTGAATCAATGTTCACTGTAGGAAAAATAATGACTCAGGGAAAAGTTAAAATCATCATAGCTTTCAGTTAACTTTTCTGTTTTTGTGTGAAAATATATTAACATATTTTAATAGGATTATACCACACAGAGAATTTTAATATCTGCTTTTCTCATTTAACCATATATTGTAAATATCTTCCCATGTTAGCCATATTGAAAATTCTGTGATGAACCTATATACATTAATTGCATCATACTTCATCCAATTTTTCTGCTTCAGTCAAAAAAATATTAAGTACCTAACATACACAAAAGCAATCTGGTAGATGTGGTGAGAGAAACAAAGTTGATTAGAACTGTTTGGTGTCCTTAAAATATTTACAGACTAGAGGGGAGTCTAACGCGGTCACACAAATCACCCAGTACCTTGTGTTATAGGTCCTGTAAGAGGGTATGAAGGGTGGGCTGTGAGAGTTCAGAGAAAGACAAGTTATTTTTCTTTAGGGAGGTGAGGGAAGGCTCAGAAGAGGACATGATGGGGGGGCAGGGCTTGACCATGTGGAGGTGGGGAAGAGGAGCATGCCAGGTGGAAGAAGAGCATATCGGAAGTAGTTCCATCTACTGGGATGCAGTCCCCATCCCAGAAAGGACCACAGGCGTAGAGGGAAGTAAACGTGGAGAGGTACCTTGGTGCCAGGTTGCAGATGATCTAGAACATCTGGCTCTGTGTTTCCTGAGTGATGGGGAACTTTTTAGGTTTCGTTTTAGATGAGGTAACGATGGGATTTGAGCTGAGCGGGAGTGTTGCTCTCAGCGGCATG